TCTTCAAGTAACTTAAAGAAGTCCAGACGCTTTTCTTTGCAAGCTCCTTTGACTACGATGATCTGGATGACTGAGAACCTTCACAGACATATTGTCCTTAACTATAATTTATCCAAGTTAACTTCAGTTAACCATTCAGACAGTTCTTTTGCAATGACAAAAATAAACAGCCATGCTGCTGGTAGGTTTCAGCGGTGCCAGCTGTTTAAATTACAGCTGCTTATGCAGCAGTAACCATGGCAACCATGGACTCTGAGTGGCTGGATTGATGCAGGTCAGACAACAATTTTACATATATGATCTTAAAACATGACACAGCCGCTATACGTGCTGGCCTCATATCAAATGTGAACGCAGACTGAGTCTATGTTCGACGTTTGTTTTATATCTAATCTTTGCTCTCAAACATTTATACAGCAGCGAGTCTGCAGCTGAGGGAACTCAAACTCAAATTGTTGGAACAGATTTGATCGTTTCTTGCGTGTATTCATTTGGAAATTTTATTAAATGTATAACTGTTATTCTAATCTGCTGCTGAGTCTCTTACGCTGATGGAAACGCAGATAACACAGATCACAAACACTGGTTCAACCAATCACTTTCATTCCACTTTGATCTGCAACAAACTGATGTGTTGATCTTGTTACAAAATTAATAAATTGTTAGTGCATATTGTTACTTGTTTTTAATATAGTTTAAAAGGGCCAGCTCTGAGTAGAGTTTGAGCCAAAAAGTACTGACAGGAAACTGCATGTTTTTGCAGACTATGAGCTCCAGACAGAGTGAAACTAAGTTCAGACAGAATGGTGACAGGTTGCCCTGGCAACAGACTTTAGAAAGAGGAAGTTATTGCAAGCTGCACAGGAAGTAAGACACAAAGAGAAGACGTGCTGCAAAATATAGTGAGACTGGCTGCAGTTTTATTTTTTCAGACTTTGGCTGCATGTCTGTGTGCCTGCTCAGTCTCCATATTCTGGAAAATGATAAATGTAAAATTAAAGATAATTTTTTGAGCTTTGACCACTTTGAGCCGTGTCTTTCTTGGCCGTTCAAGAATACAAAGAACTGGATTTAATAATCTCTTTTACAGCAGTGTTGCGTTAGACTTCTATATTTTTGTGTTCTTTATGCTGTAGTTTTTCACGTCTCTGGAATAGTTGGCAATAATAAGGATGATTTTCTGTAAAATCATATTGATATGACCCGTGAATTATTCGTAGATGACCGTTAGATTAGTTTGATGCCGCCGACACTTTCATGTGACCCAGCTGTGAAACTGTGTGTTAACTCAGAGAGCCGAAGATATCGTGAATATGCTGACCTCACTCCGTGGTGTATAAACATGTTTTTAATGTTAGTTATAATTCAGATTTGGCGACTGAAACATGTATGACACATACGAACATCAGGAAATAAAAACCCGATAAATATAACCTCAGTAAATGAAGTCAGTGTCAGCGGGGGTTATGGCAGCTGAAATCAAATAACTTTGATTGTCACATCACATGTGCAGGTACACTGGTACAGCACATATGAGTGAAATTCTTGTGTGCGAGCTTCACAAGCAACAGAGGTGTG